AGAGAAACAGAACCAATGGGTGTGTGTGTGTGTGTGTGTGTGCACGTTGTGTGTGTATATATTGTAAGGGATTAGCTTATGCAATTATGGAGGTGGGCAGGTTCCCAGACATGTAGGTGAGTTGGCAACTGGAGATCTGGGAGAGATAATGGTATGGTTCCCATATAAAAGTTGACAGGAAGAGTCAATGTCCCAGCTCAAAGACAGTCAGGCAGGAAAGAATTCTCTTTACTTGGGGGAGAATCAGCCCTTTTGTTCCACTCAGGCCTTCAACTGATTGGATAGAGCCCACCCATATGAGGGAGAGCAATCTGCTTTACTCACTCAACCAACCCATTTAAGTGTTAATCTCATCCAAAAATATCCTCATAGAAACACCCAGAATAACATTTGACCACATATATGGGTACCTTGTGGCCCACTCAAGCTGACATAAATTTAACCATCATAGTCTTTGGATTCTATACTGTCTTTGACTTTCAAACAGCATGTTCTCAAGAACCTTCAGACTACTCCACATGACCGCACACTCTCCTCACTTGGCATTGGAACTTAGAGGAGGTGGCAAGAAGGGTCATCTGTGTCTACTTGGGAGAAGGAAGTGGGGGTTTAGGGGTAGGGCTGCTGATAGCATCCTGATAGCATCCCAGAGGGGAGTTCGGAGGCAGAAATCTAAACGTTAACCACTCTGTCCCAGCATTTCAAGTACACTTCTTTCTCCTGAAGTACTTTAAACAACATTGCCTTAAGCTACAGGACTTGTGGCTGGCTGATCAAGGCCATTCAGTGGAACAGGAGATCATTTCTGTTGTGACGAGCTGGAGTTAAGAATTGGAGTTAGATCACGTTGGGGGAATCCTTTGCATTTTACTCTGAAGTATGTTCTACTAAGTGCTTTTGTATTCAAGCATGATGGGTGATTTTTGTGCTTACTGGGTGAAATGTATTGGTGTCCACAAGGGGGCTTCATTTTTCCATTTTTCAACTTTTGCTTTCAGTAATACTGTATATTTTGTTTTGTTGTTGTTGTTGTTTGTACCAAAAATAGAACTACTTATTTGTTTCTGATAAGCACTTGCCGCCGGGCGCGGTGGCGCGCGCCTGTAGTCCCAGCTACTCGGGAGGCTGAGGCAGGAGGATCGCTTGAGCCCAGGAGTTCTGGGCTGTAGTGCGCTATGCCGATCGGGTGTCCGCACTAAGTTCGGCATCAATATGGTGACCTCCCGGGAGCGGGGGACCACCAGGTTGCCTAAGGAGGGGTGAACCGGCCCAGGTCGGAAACGGAGCAGGTCTGATAAGCACTTGCCATCACTAAAAAGAGCTTTGAATGCTAAGGACGTTGGAAGAATGAGGGCAGCAAGTCTGAAACAGTGCTTGGAGGCCTGAAGGCTGGGAAGGGTCAAACAGTGGGACAGTCAGATCACAGATATTTCACATCCCTTATATGAAACTCAAAACAAACTTCTGAGTTTTTAAATATTAAGATCATAATTTAGGTTATATTGGATCATAATTAGGTTTCTAAGTCTCACTAACCTCCTATTTAAGTTAAAGGTGAATTAAAAAATATGTCATTCCAGATTCAAGTGTTAATTTTTTCAGGTATATATTCCTTAAACCATTATTTCTTGGGCTTTGGATCACTTTTAAATCTGAATTCAAGTTTGAAGTCTTTGTTTTTCTTTTCCCCACCTACTTGAAGTTTCTGTTACCAAGTACGAGGCACTAGATCAGGCCTCACCCAAAGCAGTGGGGCTGTTAGTTGAACTCAGTTTGGTCGGAGTGGAACTGAAGACCTGAGGTTACTAGCTCTTGTTTTGAGTGGCAGGTTTTACATTTATTTTGGAAGAGGGTATCTTCCAGACGCAAGAGGGGCAAAAGCAGTGTTTCACAGAAGGGAAACTGCAGTGGAAAACATACTTCATCTAGCTTTTGTGTGCGTCATGTTGGAAAAAATGAGTATCTGCGAGTCACAGGAAGAGAAGTGGCAGCGTGCTTCCAAATCAATTTGAGTTCCTGAAGAAATGAGGGTAAGATACACAGACGGATTTAAATATGTTAAAAGTGAAAAACTAGAATGATTGCTCTTGGAATTTTGTTAAGCAGTCCAACTTCTATATTTTATAGAAACTGTAGCTTTCCCATGGATTAACAGAAGGCCAAAACCTTATAATTTGAACATTAGGTTGATTAGCATTTCTGGTAGTTATTAACAAAATTGATGCCATTAGAGTTTAGGGCTGAAAAATCCTTGGGGGACATATTCCAAATGCCAAGATATAGGAGTATCCATTGATGACACAATCATTAAATGGACAAACTACTCACCCCAAATTATGGAGGAATGCTGTGGAATGAAAAATGTGCAGTACATGTTATAAGACAGCCAGTTTATGGTCACCAAAGGGGAAAAGAGGGGAGGAGGAATAAATTAGGAGTATGGAATTAATAGATACAAACTACTATACATAAAATAGATGTCACACAGATTTACTGAATAGCACAAGGAACTATATTCAATATCTTGTAATAACCTATAATGGCAAAGAATCTGAAATATTTTTGTACATGTATGTAACTGAATCACTTTGCTGTATACCTGAAACTCACATAATATTGCAAATCAACTATACTTCAATAAAAAAGAGTTAAAAAAAGAATAGTCTCAAAAGTGGTAGTCATCACACTCCAAAGGGCTTTTAAGTAATATTAAAAAGTCACATCCATCCTCAGGGTCAAATCTAATGAAGAAGACACAAAGCTCATATTTATTGAATACTTACTATGTGCCAGGTAAAGCTTGTTCTAAGCATTTTACCTATCTTAAATCACTCATTATACATAATAATTCTATTATTTCTGGTTGACTAATGAGGAAATTGAGGCACAGAGAAATGTGCCCGAGGTTTCATAGCTAAAGTGGAGTATCATATCTGATAGGAAAATGTAGGAATCCTGTATACTTTCTAATCTCTCTCTTTCAAATCTTGCTTAGTTATTTCATAAACTGCCTTTCCTACTCAGGAGAACAGCCCCTTAGACCAGAGAGATTATCGACTAAATCACTTAGGCTTGAATTTTTAAATAACTTGGTGACAAGCGTAAAAGATGATAAGGTTCTAGTCAGAACAAGGAAGGACACATAAGCTTGGGAAGACATTTCTGCGGGGAAGACATTTGTCAGTACAGACAAATATGAAAATCTAGTTAGTGATAAAGCTGCTGTCTTTAGCGTTAGTGAAATATCACGTGGCAGCATGACTTGAGAAATTCGAAACAGCCTAATTCCATCAGATGTGATTTGACATCTCAACAAGCACTTTAAACTCAGCATATTCAAAACTGAACTCCTTTGCTGTACATTGTAAATCAACTACACTTCAAAAAAAAAAGAAAAAAAAACGCCTGTAAATCAACTACACTGTAAATCACCTACACTGACATAAAAAATAAGGAAAAAACAAAAAAAACCCCTGAGCTCCTGATCTAACTCCCCAGATCCACTCCTCCTGCAGCTGCCCTCCTTTCGGCTGATGGTAACCCCATCCTTCCAGCAGCTGAGGCCCAAACCCTGTCCTCATTGCCTTTCCTTCTTCCGCACCTCACCACACCTAGTGCATCAGCAACTCCGCTGGCTTTACTGTCCACACACACCTGGAGCCTGACCATTTCTTACCATCGCTCCAGCTCCCCCAACTCTCCTCTCATCTCTTTTGGGGTTATTGCAGTTGACTCCCAGCTGGCCGCCCTGCTTCTGCCCTTGCCCTCCACAGTGTGCCTTTGACACAGAAGCCACCAGGATCAGTTAAGACCCAAGCCAGACCAGGTTACACCTCACCTAAAGCCCCACGATGATTCCCTGTTGCACTCCAGTAATGCCGGAGTTCTTCCAGCGACCTTCGAGAGCCTGCAGGACTGGACCTTCCATGCACGTGAGACTCACCGCCTTTTCTTCTTCATCTTGCCTGTTCTGGTCCCATCACCCTGACCTCCTTGCTGCTCCTCAGACAGCCGAGCCTCGCTCCACCCTCTGCCCAGACGTTCTTCTCCACCTGTCGCTGTGGCTCCTGCCTCACCTCCTCCCAGTTTTCCTCCAGTGAGCCTTCTACTTACCATTCTCACACTCCTGAGCGCCTCATTTTGCTTCATTTAAAATTGTTTTCCACAGTGCCTATGGTCTTCCCACAGACGATGTAACTGATTTCTTCCTCATGCCTATTGTTTCCTCCCTGTATTCCCCCTCCTCTCCTGCGCGAATGTGCGATTTGTGAGGACAGGACTCAGTTTTGTCTACTGATGTATTGCAAGCGCCCAGAATGTTGCCTGGAACATAGCAGATGCTCAGCAAATGATGAATTGTTGACTAATGTAAATAGATTTTAAATGTAATTGGAAAATAGAGACTGTTACTCAGAAACCATTGCAGTGAGCTACCAGCACAGCAAACATTGTAAGGCCTAAGGGACTGGATATTTGTTTTTCTGCAAGACAGGTAGGATAAAGGAAAATAATAAGAAATATGCAGTGTGTGTTTTGCCCTCAACTATTTAAGAGCTGATGAAAGCATTTGCTTCTTTAATGAGTAGAAATCCTTACATCAACCCTATGAGGAGGTTCTGTGATTATTTGAAATTCCACATAGAGCCCTTAGCAGATGTCAGCCACACAGAAGTACTTAGGAACCACCAGCTGTAATTGCTGTGATACTTTATAGAAATGCATATGCAGTTTAAATAATTGATTTTGAATAAGTAACTATGCATCCTATTTTATTGAAACCTCATACATTAAATAAACACTACCACATGCCCTGTATTTCATCTGGCATTTAATTACACGTGTGTCTTGAGTTAAGAATCCTCATGCTTTAGAAACCCTGGAGAACTGCTTTAGTTTTTAAATCTTTGTGCAAGGGGGCAGGGTCTCATAGCTATTCAATTTACTAACTTTATTTGATTGGAGTTGATCCTTGCAAGATCTGTGATCTTCTTCTCTTTAAGGTGTGGGCGAACTCTGTCACTGAGATTACCAGTGGTGACCTCTGTGCAGAAGATGGGGACTCCTCCCTGCAGGACCTTACCTACTTGGTCTCTCCACCCAGCAATGGACATTTGGCTCTCAAGTCGTTTCCTGGCCGAAGCATCCAGAACTTTACCCAGGCTCAAATCAATGAAGGCCAGTTAGTGTTTGTACACACTGGTATGTCACAGAGGAAAACAATGTGAAACTAAAATGTGTTTAATCAGAGATTAACATGTAGTCAAGCCTAAGAGCTGCTGATGGAAAACTACAAGCCATCTAAAAACCTTCCAGACTCTGTACCTTTTTCAAAGTGGCACGTTTTAGTAAGGCCAATAACAGCAAACATTAGAGGGTACCTATAACTTACACGTGGCTTATTCACATTGTTGTGTAAGGCCTGCACTCAAATACAAGCTTCTCAGAGAGCCTTTTCCTGACCACCCACTAAAACAGCATCTCTTCTGTCGCCCTCCATCCCCTAGCCTGGCTATCCGACCTTGTCGTGTAGATTGACTTGCTCATTCGTTTGTTGTCTGCCTTCCCCACTAGAGTGTAAGAGCTATAAGAAGAGGGTCTTTCTTCTGTTCACTCTTGTATCCTCAGCACCCAAGAACAGTGACTTGAACATAGTAGGTGCTTAATAAACTTTTGTTGAAAGGATGGAATCATGTTGAATACCTGTTATGTGCCAGGTAATATTCCAGATGCTGGGGATACATTAGTGAATACAAAAAACACATTTGTTGAATGAAGAAGAATGAATGAATGAATGAATGAATGAATGAATGAATATAACTGTAAATCTAAGAGATCCTGGCATTAAAAGGCTTTGTGGTCTTCCTCTGGTCATCAGTAAATCAGTAAGCCAAATAGCCACTGCAAATCTGCAGAAGGGCTGATCCAGCCTGCCTTTGTTTCCAGGCTGCCCTTGTCAGTGGACTAAGAGGGGAAGCCGCCCATTCCCAGCCTGCAGAGGGAAATGGGAGGGGGCATGAGCAGGCGCGTGATGGTAAAACTAAAAGTCTTATCTTTTCAGCCATTTTAAATTATCTTCTTTGAAAATATAGCAAAGAAAATAAAGACGAAACATCATCTAAATTCAAATGTAGTAATTTCCTGATTATCTTTGCAGTTAATGCAAAGAATCTCCAAATAACCTGAAAATACTTTACTATGTGACTGTTCTCATCTAGTGGTTCCAAACCTGTTGCCCGGGAACCTGTTAGGGTTAGTTTTATTGCAGTAAGATCCTAAATCTACCTACATATGTACCAAAGCATTGTTTCTAGACTGAATGATCTTTTCTATGTATGTGTGTTTTCCTTTTTTAAATGTGTGCAGATGTGCTCATTAATAAAACGCAATTCATTTAAAGAGGCACTGAATTGACAGGTGGTTTCTACCAGTTATGTGTGGTTTTGATTAGTAGATATTAAAAGTCCAAGTATTATTAGGAGAGGGCCAGGGAACTTTTTTTTTATCTTTATGAAAGGATTATCCTATTTTTAAAATGGAGAGAACTACTCTAGAGACTGGCACAGGAGAAGTTTAGAATTTCTAAAACTGTGCATTTTGCAATGGAAGAGAATTATTGACTCTCTGGCATATGCTGGGCACTGCAGGAGATACAATCACACGATTCATTTCATTTCACCTGCAGAAGTTCTCCGAGCGATTGGGAGTAATGATCCCATTTTAGAAATGAAGAAGCTGACGCTCAGAAAGATTTAAGTCAGTCTGACCCTAAAGCTGGGCTTTCTCTACTAGCTGCCATTGAAGGACATTGAAGGGCAGAGTAGGTTGGAGAACTGAAATTATTCTTTGCAATGAAGGATTAAAATATAAGTTAGCTCTCTGGCTTGATTTATTTAACTACCAGGTCAATATTTGCTGTTGGCGAGTAGAGAAAATAATTTCTCCTGAAAAAGCAGGAAGGAGGATTAAAGTCAAGCTCTTTGCGAGTCAATCCATTACATTTTCTAAATGGACGTGGAGGCAATAATAGCCTTCAGAGTGGCTGGAGCCCGGCTGCAGATGAGTCTTGCTGAACCCAGCTGGTTCTCCCTGCTACAACTGTCCATCAGCAGCCCAAAGAAAGGCTTTGGTTTAATTAGTCTCTCTTAGCATTTATATTTGCAAAGTACTCTGCCATTAATCTAATTCATTATTCCACATAACAACCTAAGTAGGTTGATAGAGCCAAGATGGGGCGGGGGGAGCGGTTGGCTAAGTGATTTCAGGTCACCCTTCTGAAAGAACTGGCAGGTCAGGAACATCTGAGGTCATAACAGAAAATCCACAGGTCACAGCTGCTTTGATGTTCCCCTCCTTCCTCCTCTTTGGTCGTAATTAGTATAATAGTTGGGATTATTCTAGTATTTGTTTGGATACCATTTCCATTTTGTTTCTGGATTCATGAAATGTTCAAAGTACCTCATGGCAGAAAGCATTCTCTCCCTAATTTCATGTTTCATTAAAGACAACTTTCAAAGTGCTCTTTCTAGTACAAACAAGCAAAAAAACAAACAAACAAAAATAGCATTTGGTTGTGGGCCTCTGTTCTAAATTAGGCAGATCCAGAATTCTCTTTCTCTATTTTTTTAAATATGATGACTCTTGAGTGTACTGGGAAATATTTTTTAAAGGCTTTTTTGTGAGGGATAAGAACTCCCTGGGTTTGCTTAGATAACAGAGACTTGAGAGACTGTTAAGCCATCAGCCAGCCCTTTATTAAATCATGTTATGAAGGGAGTACTTGTAGGTAATTGCATGGTCTGACCATGCCTGCTTTGTTCCCTGCCTCGAGTCCCTGAGGGCAACAAAGAGGCCATTTCTACCCATTCCGTGATGCAAAGACCTATGGGCCTGCAGAGTTACTGCTGGATGAACAGTTTCACAGGGCGAGGGGACTGTGCTCATCAGGCTCTCTGCATGGTGATCTCGTTTGGTGCTTTGGGAGTCAGACTGGTAAAGCACTCCTGGGAACAGGGTCAGTATGGGGCCCGTCTTCATTTCTGTTTAGCACATAAGTGAATTTATAACTTTGCTGATATCACTAATTAATCCCTTGACAGACATGTGGGAGTAGAATTCTCTTCTTGCAGGAACATAACAAAAGCAGACCTGGGTCTTCCCCCACTTTTCTCTTGCCCCTTTGCAGAAAACAGATGGTTTGAGATAGATGAATAATGAGGAATTATTTGGGGGGAAGGGCTAAGTGTTATTTACTTCTCTCTAGTTTTGATTTTCAGTATTATCAATAGATCAGAAATTGCTAAGGGGGTGTGGGAGTGTGTGTGTATGTGTGTGCATGCATGTGTGCGTGTGCTCGTGTGTTGCATGTGTGCATTACTTTTATTGTTACAAATTGATTCCAAAATAATAAATGCAGGCAATGAGCATGTTTTAAATTTTTAAAAAAAAATTTTGGAGGTAATATCTTATTTATTATTAATCTCTTTTATTATTCTCAGGAGAAGGTCATGTGGGAAAATGCATTTTAGGCCTTTATTGATGTTCTTTTCACTTATGCGTTTTGGCAGTATTTGATTTGGTGAACAGGTGACTGTATTAATGCAGTCTTAAATTGATAGGGGTCACTTTGCAGGGGGATCAGGTGGGAGAGAGGGTGAAAGTGGGTGGCTCTTGCAGAACAACCAAATTGACCAGAGTGTAATTTCTTCTTTTGAAGGAGCGCTGTCAGGAGGCTTTAATTTTCAGGTTACAGATGGTATGAACTTTGCACCAGGACAGATTTTTAGCATCACAGCTCGAGCTCTGATCATTAGCTTAGAAGTAAACAAAGGACTGAGCATCTTTCCAGGTAAGACTTTAACTTTGTTGTTTGGGTTTAAGTGTTTTTCAGTTTATTTAGAAACTTCTACCTGTATGGTGTAAAATATCATCTTTTACTATAGAGTGATATCATGATATCAACCAGCTACAAAGTCCCAGAAAGAACTATCTCTTCGCAGGAGTTTAGCAAAAGCAAGGCTGGGTCTTTCCCCCTGCCTCTCTCCCCTCTCCTATTCCTCAGAAGAGGGTGTACTGGGGAAGGGCGATGAGGGAGGAATCACTGAAGCAGCAGGCTTTATGATCCATATGCACTTTTCCCCTGCTCTTTCCTTTGGGTCCTTAAAGAAGCAGGAAAACCAGGCTCTGCTGTAACCATCTAGATCTTGGGGTTTTCTTTTTTTGAATATAAAAACCCTGTGTACCAGGGGACCATAGGGGATTTCACTCAGCTCTTGTTTTGGGTCCCTGAAGCCTCTGGACTACTGTTTGCCAAGAATCTCAGCCTGGCTGAGATGGAAAGATCCAAGTGAGCATCTCTGGCCCAATACTGTCACTGCAGGGATAGAGAAAGATTTACCCAATTGCAGGGGCAATAAAAAAGAGGGAATTTTTTTAGCTTGTTATTTAAAAAAAAAAGCATTGAAATAGATAGCACAGGAAATAATAAAATTTATATTACAATTTTAAAAAAAACCTGGGCTTTTGTAACTTGTTTACTTGATACACATTATCAGTAAAACATGGATGGAGAAAAACACTAATCATTTTATTAATTATGGCCACTCCATGGTCACCCCAGCCAGGTGTTCTCAACCACTGGGAAGCTTTTAAAAATACCAGTGTCTTGGCCTTGCCTTACAAAACCAATTGAATGGGAATCTCTGAGATGGGACCTGGCTATTGTTACTTTTTCAAGTTCCAGCTGGTTCTGAAGTACAGCCAGGACTGAGATCCATGGGGCTAGGCATTGTGCTATTTAGTCTTTTTGTAACCTTTACATCTATGTGAGATAGGTGATATATTCACAGCAAGTTGGCAGGACTTGTGGCTTAAAGAGATGATGTAACTCGGCTGTGCAACCAGGAAATGGTAGATAAAGCTTACATACCTCTAGAGTAGACCTCGAGAAAAATCATTGTTTGTAACTTAAAAAAAAAAAACAAGAATTTTTAGAAATTTTGAAATTTTTAGTTACGTTAAGCTTTTGAGCTCACAAATAGAAGCCTTATCAAAATCCAGTTAAAGATAATGTTAACCCAGATTCTTATCTTCTAAAAACTTTTTATATCCCATATTTTTTCTCTGAGCATAAGTGTGATGCTTCTGTCAATTTCTTCAAGGCCAAAAGGGTACCATTTAGTATTTAAAAAAATAAGCAAACAACTGCACCCTAGTATTCTGAAAAATACAGCAATCTATTTTTTAAAAGTTCTAAAATCAGTAAATCTGGTTGCTGCAAAAAATAAAATACCTTTCATCTAGTCTGGCTAAACTATGGTTTAGTAACTGAAGACAGTTTTATTACATTGAAGGGGAGTTATAGCCACTATAGCTTAGGAAGTTTTTGAATTTCTGGCACCTGTTTTACTGAATATTAGTTTTGCAAGAAAAATATGTTAACATGGCCCAAATTCCCTTGTCACCCTTGTCGAGCTATGCAAAAACATATAGCTTTCTTAGCCCTCTTCTTAATATTTGGAGACAGCCCCGAGTAACCATCTCCTCTCCCTTCCCAACATGCACCACATCTGCCCTGGCCTGGCCTTCTTGTATCCTGTATCCGAAAACCCTCCACTGGAACTTGCATGTTATCCTCAGATCCCAAAGTGACCTGTTCCTTTTTCTAGCTCCCCCTAGCTCGTTAGGTCTGTTATTCTTGGTTTCTGTGTCTTCTCTCCCCAGACTGTGACTTATTTCCAGCTCCAGCTCCTGGCCAATAGGAAAGAAGATGCATTTTCATGTACGTTTCCATTAGGCAGCTCTTATATTTGATCTGAGCTTGGGTGAGTGTGAAATGAGATCCATGGAGTCACAGATTTTAGAATTGAGATGGACCTTGTGGGCCACTTGGCCCAGTTGTTCTTGGCATTCTTCCTACCTAACATCCCAAGTAGCAGTGACCCTCTCTGTTCTGCATCAGAGTTCTAGGTGTGGGTGTGGCTCTGAAGACCACATCTCCTCATCCTCCCTCCAGGGACATAGTTGAGCCTTGCTCAGCCTGGCTCTGCAGTGGCCTCCCAAGGATGTTGGTCCCTGATGCTGTGAAAAGCTGCAAGGATGATGATGACAGATGTGTCACTCTTTTTCTTTCCTCAGGACCGCCCCACACCCCACCCCACCATGTCAGGTCCTGCTGGGAGCAGGCCTGGGTGACCTCTGCCTCCCTCATCTATTAGCTGGCCCCTTGGCTGGGGGAGGAAGGGAGGCACTCTGTGTCCCATCTCCAATGTGACTCCAGGTGTCAGTTATCAGCGACTGCTGCTCTTGTCAGACTCGAGTTGACCTGTATGTTCTGAAATATCAGGGAAAATCTTTTCTTTCTTACAGAGCTATAGATTTTATAGAACTGAAATAGGAGAAAATCTCTTCCTATTTTATAATAGACGTTCAGATACTATTGATGTCTGTGTTTTTATAGTGTTTGATATTTTTAATCTACTGAACTGGGTTGTTATAAAGATTTGAACAAACTAATGTATTTAAAAGCAAGTTTTGATCGTTTCTATTTGGCAGATAAAAAACACTGGGCATGTTCAAATTCATGCAACTAATAGGAATCATAAGCCCCAAAATTGAGTGCCAACTCCAACCCCAAACTGTGTGCTCCAACCACAGCAGCTCCTGTCCCTTGTGTTCGTGCCTTTGTTCCAGGGCTGCCTCTGTTTTAGAATATCAATTCCCTGTGAATGGGGATCATCATGGTGGCTGTGTACTCTGTCTCCTTCTTGATATTCTTGAGGGACTGATGTATACAACCAGGAAAAGATATATAACAATTTAATAAACAGCAATGTGTATGTGGAAATTTTATATGTTAGGGAAATATTGCAACCTAGCATTAATCAACATTTTTTTTGAAACTCACATTGATCCCATACCAGTTGGACTTTCTCTACGAGCCCAGCAGACTTTGGCCATACTGTTCTGCCTCCTTTGTGTACTGTCTTAAAAAGTGGCCCTGGCTTGATAAATGTAAGAACTTTCTTAGGGTAAGCCAAAATAATTATAAGAATACTTAGTGAGTGAATGTTTTAAGGTTAACCATGGGTTGTAAGGCCTGCCAAATTTGAAAGTCATTCTTTAACGCAGTTATTTTAAAGTAGGAAGGACTTTAGTTCTAAATGAAATCTTTGTGTTTACGAACTAAGAAAAAAGATCTATTTGATGTATATTTTCATCTTGTAATTTTGTGTGTGTGTGTGTGTGTGCGTATACACACACACACACACACACACATATATATATATGTATATATATTTCTGTTTCTTTCTAGACAACTTACTGCCCAGAAAGGAGTTTTGTAACTGGTTTTTCACCTTGAATGCCACCATTGAACATGTTTGTTTGTTTATCCTTAGTGGTGGCATGTTGGAACATACTGTGGCCCAGAACCTAGTTTTTCTGTGTAACCAAATTGCACTTGGCTCCTTTGAGAGTGTTGAGGAGGGGTTGACCTTGAGAGTTTTGTCAAACTGGTCTAGAATGTAAGCTTACACAGATCCAGAGTTAAGTAGCAGGATATTCATAGCAAACTATGTGACTTCAATCTCCTTGGGGTTTGGTTATGCTATAGAAGGAATCATGTCTCACCAATGGGCCATCTGTCCTCTGTGGCAGGAATTGAGGGAGAGAGAAAGGCAGGAAGAAGTCACAACATATTGCTAAAGCATTTAGAGCTGAGATTTGTAAAACCTTTTAGTCAACTGGTTTTGAAGCACTGTATTGAATATTTTAAGACTGAGCAGGAGATAACCAAGAGCCATAAAAAAAGATTTTCATCCTCAAGGAGAAAATTAAAGGCTTACTACAGTTCAGGGGAGGGAAATTTCCCTTAGACTGGGATGATCAGGGAGAGCTTGTTGACCAAATGAGTCTCGAGCTGCCCCTGCAGAATGAATAGCATTTTGATGGGTGGCAACAAAGACATACCAGAGAGGACAGCATGACTGAGGTAGTGAAAACCTGGGAAGAAGCGGGTGTGTCTGGAAGGTAGAGAGCAGAATCTGTCAGATTTGTTGAATAATTCATCACATTTCCTAACTCAGACATCACTACAGCACTGAGCTCAAAGTAGTATGATAGGCAATATAAGGTCAGCCTTTAAAAAATACTCGCTTGGCATCAGTGAGACCTACATTTGACCAGCAGACAAATTATTTAGCCTTATCATCCCTTCTTCAGGATGAGGAAACAAATTATACTTCTTAGGATTATCATGGCGTCTAAAAGAAAGCGCAGGACTGTGTCGGTGCTGTTTCCTGGTATATCTCCACTCCTGATTGTAGGGCTTGTCCCATTCGAGGCACCTGGTAATGTCAGTTGAAGAAATACACAAGACCTTCTATCCTGGTGACCATGAAACCCTTGTTGTCATGGTGGTAGTTGATCTTCATGAAACAAACACAATAGGATGTAAGTATGTTTGAGAAATACTATTCTTAAAAGGAGGATAAAACAGATATTTTTTTTAACTTCAAGACTCAGAGTGTTCAACATGCTGATTTGATTTTCAGATCTCTCAGAGGTACACATGGGGTGAGAGCTGACTAAACAGATATGGTTATAGAACCCTTTTATTACCACACTCCTCTAGGACAGTTTTTCTATGGAATATATATTTAGATGGGACCTTAGTGAAATCTTTTCCAAACTAAGTGTTTGGAGCTCATTGATGAAAATATTAATGCTGATGAAATGAGTTGGGGTGGGGAGAAAATATTTGGCTCATGGTGAACTGGGCTGGGAGATAAAAGATGCCCATCAGGCAGTTGCAACATGGAGCCAGCTAGTCTTGCTGACTGAGCATGCTCGAGGTGACTGCTGAATGGGAATTAAACCATAGATGACTTTATGGGTTAGGTGGCTGGTCAGGGAACGAGGAATTGATGTACCCTGGCCGAGAGAAAAGCACTCTTGACCTGGAATATTTCCCCAATGGGTCCTCTACCCCAAAAGGCTAAGATAAGTGAAATGACTTTTAAAGAGACCCTCCCACCTGCCAAAAGTAATCCTGGGGGTGAAGGAATAAGTGAAAAGTTAAGAATCCTTTATAGGAAGGAAATAATTAAGAAGGCACAGTGGGGAAAAGTTCCAAAGGATAACTGAAGATGAGAAGTTGGATGTCGGGGTCCCCAGAGACTGCACACAAAAGAGACATACTCCACCTGAAAAGAACTGGGACCCTACCTTAGCAGATAATAGAAAATGGGCCTCAGTTATGACTTTATGTAACATTGACTAAGGGGACAGAATAATTCCTCTTGGCCTCCCCAGGGTGTCCTTAGATCCTGGGCCCCCAGCTCGAGAAGCCAGAAGGTGGCAGTGACTGCAAAATTTCCAGCAGCGAGAAGACCTAAGAGGAATGTGGGCGTCTATTAAAGCATCTTTTTTGTGTGTGACAACTACGGCTGTACCAAGGCAATCCTGAATCTGAGACAGAACTGTGTTCTTTAGGCTGTTATTTGCAGGTACTCCTACCTCCCCAACAGGATCCCCAGGACCTAGTTAGTGCCCAGCCCAGGGGCTTGGGTATTTTACTTTATTTTATTTTGTTTTCAGCTTTATAGAGGTATAATTGAAAAATAAAATTATAAGATATCTGAAGTATGCAACGTGATGATTTAATATATGTATACATTGTGAAAAGATTCCGCCACTGAGTTAACACATTCATCACTTTACATTTTTACTTTTTTTTTTTTTTTTGGTGAGAACATTTTAGTTCTTTTCTTTTAGTAAATTTCAATTATATAATACAGTGTGGTTAACTGTAGTCACCATGTTACACATTAGATCCTCAGACCTTATTTATCTTATAACTGAAAATTTATAACCCTTTTACCAATTTCTCCGTATTTCCCCCACCCCCTAGCCCCTGGCAACCACTTTCCACTCTCTGTTTTTGTGAGTTTGACTTTTTTTTTTTAAGATCCTACATATAAGTGATACTACACAGTATTTGTCTTCCTCTGTCTGGCTTGTTTCACTCAGCATAATGCCTTCCAGGTCCATCCAAGTTGTTGCAAATGACAAGCTTTTCTTCCTTTTAAGGCTGAATAATATTCCATTGGGTACGTGTGTGTGTGTGTGTGTGTGTGTGTGTGTGTGTGTGTGTGTGTGTATTACCTTTTACAACATTTTCTTGACCCATTCATCCATTGATGGAAACTTAAGTTGTTTCTATACCTTGGCTATTGTGAGTAATGCTTCAATAAACATTGGAGTATAGATTTCTCTTTGAGATAATGGTTTTGCTTCCTTTGGATACATACTCAGAAGTGAGATTGCTGTATCATGGGGTAGTTCTATTTTTATTTTCTCAAGGAACCTCCATACTTTTTTCCATAGTGGCTACACCAACTTACATTCCCACTGACAGTGCATAAGGGTTCCCTTTTCTCCACATTCCTCACTAGCATTTGTTATTTCATGTCTTTGATAATGGACATCCTAATGGGTGTAAGGTGATGTCTCACTGTGGTTTTGATTTCCATTTCCCTGATGATTAGTGATGATGAGCACCTTTTCATGTATCTGTTGCCTAGTTGTATGTCTTTGGAAAAATGTCTATTCGGGTCCTTTGCTCATTTCTTAACTGGGCTATTTGATTTTTTTTTTTTGCTATTGAGTTGTATGAGATCCTTGTATATTTTGGATATTGACCCCCCCAGATATGTGGTTTGCAAATATTTCTTCCCATTCCATAAGTTGCCTTCTCATTTTGTTGATGGTTTCCTTTGCTGACCAGATGTAGTCCTACTTGTTTATTTTTGTTTTTATTGTCAGATATTTTAAAGGGAGCCTCTAAACTGAAGGCTCAGAACAATCTTTGCATGTTTGAAAATCTTACCCAAAGCTGGCTTCCCCCTGTGTTAGCTGTTGTTAAGATCCTGCTTTTAAGCACCTAATGTGGTTTAAACACTGCAGTTGATGGCCCTGGCTCTCCAAGGCTACAATGACTAAGGAAAGCAAAATGGATGTCATTCAGGAGGCTGGTTATTACTGGGTGATTGACTCAATTTCATAAACAATTTATAAAGTGCCTACTCCAAGAGCTAGCCTGTGCAAGGCCTATTGCTAAAGCCCTTTAGCAAGGGCTAAAACAGAAAAAAGAAGGTGAAATTCTGGGCCAGGATGACCATGTAAATCTCTTTCAGATCTGCCATACTGTCAAGTTGGGGATATCCCCCAAATCCTGCAAAGTAAAGGGATATGTACTCTAGCCCTATGTTCCTTAACTTGTGGTCTACAGACCCCCTGGTCTTTGAACTGGTAAGAACAGAAAGTGAAAGGAAATGTTTAGAAATTTTTATAGCAATTTGACATTGCTGCAACATTTTATCATATTTTATAAGATTATTGCTCCACAGTGGACTGGGGGAGAAACACTGATCCTTCACTGCAAAGCATTTGAGAAGCATTGCTCTAACTTGAATATCCCTGAGTCTCTCTGGCCTCCGGTTGTCAATGAAGTCACATTAGTGCACAGACCCACATGTCACTGGTTCTTCTCCCCTTGACATCCACACACGCCCTTCCCATCCCACATTGTCCATGCAGCCCGCACGCCTGGGGGTCCTCTGGAAACGGCTCATATTTGTTCCAGAGCCAGCCTCTCCCCTAGGTGTCCACAGATGGACACTCCATTGAGCATCTGCAGCCACCGTCAGGCCAGGACGTGTCTGTCCTTCCAGGGGAGGACGCTGTCTCCTGTTCTCTCTGTGCACAGGGTGGGCTTCCCTTTCCTCTGCTCGGAGCCCAGCTGGGTGCCACGTACCTGGCATTGCCTTCTTTCTCTTGGGATCAGGGAGACATGTAGGACTATGGGGGCTGAGGGACCATTTCATGGGATTTTCTTCCTTCATCTCAGCGCCAGTAGCAAAGCAAGTCCACAGATGCCTCACAGATCACTAGCCCCATACAGCCCAGCTTCAAGTTAGAGCTAGCCAGTCCTTCGTACATAACCACGTATTTTCCAGAGTTTTCAAGGGTCTATAAAAGATCGTTTCATTAACTGCAGCCATCATATGCTTTATAGTTACATGCATGTTTTAATCTTCACTTAGGTTCCAGGAAGCCCCTTTCATCTCATGACCTGAGAGCTGTGACCAATGATGTGGACAGTGCAGGAAACAGAACTATTACTTTTACGGTTGTAAGTTCCCCTAGACTTGGGAGGCTGGTGCGAGTAAATTCTGACAACAGCACAGAGGATGTTTCCGTGTTTACACAGAAGCTGGTGAGTCCTGACGTCCGTCCATGCAGCTGGGTAGGGCTGGGCGTCTCTCCAGGGCAGTCCCCTCACTTGTCTTCATCCTGTTAAACCAAGCAGACGTGCCCCTTTGCCCAGGCAATTACTCATTCCAGCTGTGCTGTTTTTAAAGCTGGACACTTTATAGTGAATACAGGCTGGGACCCAACTGTCAGAAGACACTAAGCAAATTCATATCCTGTATCTAAGAAATAAGAAAGGATCCTTTTTCACTAAAGATGAATTTAAAAGAAAACCCAAAGCAAAGCTGCAGGTACTCCAGATAAATCCTGCAGGATATATCTATGTACATTTATGTTTAATATATAAAATTATATATATAATTTCATCTATCACAGTTATATGTGTGTATATAAACATGTACATATGTAAGGTGTGTGTATTTAATCTGCACCCAGAGCTGTCTGTTTTCAACCTCACTGATACTTTACCACCACCACCATCCACACACATTTTTATTTACATGTATAAGCCTTCAAATCTTTTGATTTTTTTAACATTTTTTATTGCGTTACAGTCATTTTACAATGTTGTGTCAAATTCCAGTGTAGAGCACAATTTTTCAGTTATACATGAACGTATATATATATTCATTGTCACATTTTTTTCGCTGTGAGCTACCATAAGATCTTGTATACATTTCCCTGTGCTATACAGTATAATCTTGTTTATCTAGTCTACATTTTGAAATCCCAGTCTAGGAATCTGACTGACTGGTCTTGTTTGCCTATATGTAATTTCATTTTCTAAAAGTCTACATTTCCAAATGGTCTTCTTGAATGTAGTTTTTCTTGCTTGCCATTCAACTTTCTTTTTCCATTGTTAAGCAGTGTGTACAGGGAACTGATAGCTGATCTGGCTATAGCTTTACGTGACTAAGGAATAAAAAAATCTGAAGTCAAGTTTAGAGGAAGCAAAAGTGAACCACATGTCTGCCTTTAACCGTTGAGTCATTTTTCTACAGTGTGATGTGGCCAAATTGAATTCAGCTTATGCTTTGCAATCGCCTTTGGGATGCATTTAAGGGAACGGATCACGAGGTCAGCAAAAGTTCTGACAGTGACATTGAAAAGAGGAAGTATAAATTCTCTAGTTCACAGATGCACGCTGAAGGAAGAAAAAGTAATTAGGAGAAAACTATATTCTGTGGGGGAGCTTAATGTGCCCAAAGGCATCAAAACTTGCCCAGGTTCAGTTTACATTTTGAATACCAGTAAGAATTGTATCAGCCATATAAAGATGGATTGACTCTAGTCCTAGATCTTTAAAAAAATTCTTTTGGTGGTGATCATTGCAAGCACTAGTTTCTACTACCTTTCATTGCAAATATATAATATTTCAGATTAATATGGTCTAAATAGGTTTTAGTGGGTAGGTAGCCAGGACCCACTGGGTTATGCTACAGTAACAAACAACTTCCCAACCTCAATGGCTTATAAGCTTATTTCTTACATATATTGCACACGGCCCGTGGGTTGGCTGTGGGTCTGCTCTACATCTCTCCTTTATTCCAGGGTCCAAGTTGAAGGAGCAACCCCTTTCTTGGGCATTGCTGTGTTTGCAGCAGAGGGAAAAGAAGTGATGGTGGAACCATGAAAAGACTCCTAAAGTTTATGTTCAGAAGTGCTGTGTATCACTGTTCTCATCTCATTGACTAAAGAATGTCCTGTGAGCAAGCCTGATGTCAGTGGGGTGGGGAAGGCTAACCATCTCATAGGGAGGAGGCACTGGAACAATAGAACAGTCCACCTTGGTGGGCTAGCCTGGTAATCGGAAAACTGTTTTTAATACAAAGAGTGCATTTTCTTGTAAAAACAAACCACCTTCACAAGACAACACATTTGTAAACAGGAATTAAAACTCCAAGCTAGTTATAGCTCCACAAAGTCTTGATTGATACAAATCCAATTATTTTAAGGTATTATTTTTCCTCCCATTATTCCTTCTACTTTATGAACCAGGAGGCAAGTATCAAGAAAACGCATCAGTAATGGCAAGCATTAGTGTGTGGATTATGTGTTACATTGGCGCTGAGGTTTGTAAGGGGCTTGCACAGTGGTGTCTTGGATGAGGGGCATTAGACCCAGCTGTTGATCCTCATGAAGGCAGGGGCAGGCTCCAGGCTGGAAGCAAAGTTGGGCAATGTCACAAGTCAGGTGTGGTGAGACAGGAGTTTGTTCTCCTTGATTGGACCAGGGGAGCAGTCCATCTCACCACACACAGCCCTTTCCTCCCTAAAGCATGCACCCACCAAGCCAGGGGCCTAGTGCAGGGCTTTGACTCACAGGACAAAGCAGAGCTCCTTTTGTTGTGTATAAGGCATTAGACTGTCTATCAGACATTTTATGCAAGTACCCTCCTAAACATGACAATTCCCGTCTCCCCAAAGTAGCATAGAAGATATATTTAGAGTCTGCAGAAATTCAGCACAGCAGCCCACACTCTGTCTTTGCTGTGTGAGTGTGGGACAGCATGTAATTTAGGAATCGGGTGCCCTGTTGCTGCTCCTTGATCCACTGCTGATTTCTTATGACTGAGGTCAGTGCCTTGGTCTCTAAAGTCAGAAGGTCTGGATTAGCTCTGTGAGTAAGGGCAAATGACATATCTTTTAAACCTCAGTTTCCTTGTCTGTAAAATGGGGGCAAATAGTAGTAATGATAACTGAAACCGTTTTGAACATTCCCCATATCCCAAGCACCATTCTAAGCTTTCTTCTATATTCTCATTATCTTACTCTACAGGCAGGGATCCTAAAGCACAGGGAAGTTAAGCAACTTGCCCACAGCTGCACAGCACAGCTCAGAAGTGGCAGAGGCAGGATTTGACCCAGTGTCTTGACTCTTAGGTTGTGCTCTTATCCCCTAGGCTATATTTTCCTCTTGGAGTTTGTAATGAATTAACACAGAAAATGAAAACAAAGCACTTAGCACTCTGCCCAACAGGTAGCAGACTTTAAATAAATCATAGCTAAGGCTGTTATGATTATCTTTTTGTCCTTGGAAGTGTGAGAGGTTCCTTTCCTCTCATAGTAACCAAAGGACTAATTTTACAGGGCAGGCAATTTTCTGGGACACTGGAATTGGCTGCTGCGTTTACCCTAATGTGCTGCAGTGATTTAATGAATGGAAATGAGGTCATTAGGAGAAAATGATACTTGCTTCACCCTATAACCTGCTCACTGTTTCCCTTTGTGGAAGAGTCCCTGGTGTTCTAGAATACAATTCCCTGAGTGATGATGAGAGGAGGGGACTGGGGAAAATGTCAGGGGGCCTCATGCTTGGATCCAGCAGCCCTTCATCCTTGGGCAGAGCACAGGCTGGAGGCAGAATGAGGCCTGGGGCTGGGGCAGCTCCAAAGATCCCACCCCAGAGGGTCAGAGCAAGGAGAACCCCGTGGAAGAACTCCTCACCAGAGCAGCTGAGAGCTGCTGTACAAAGGTGGTTTTGCAGGGTATGTTTGGCTAAATTTCTATGAATAAATTTCATCGAAATAGCCTCTCTTCCACTTCAGTATTCATAAAGGACATGGATAATGTGGGCAGAGGAGAGAGTGTGCAGAGGAAACTGCAAGGATATAAACTCAAACGCTAACCCTGGCTCTTCTACTGTGTGTGGTTTTTTGAGTACAACAATAACTCATGCTTACTGTGAAAACAAAATTAGAAAACATTAAAGCAGAAAATTAATATTGAAAAAGAATAGGTCATCATCAATAAATTCAGTACAATTGGTATTCATCTGAAGGCATTCCAACTCTGTTCAGCTTGTGTATTCAAAAGTGCACATTTTAATTTGTGCCTTGGAAAGAGGAAGAAACTTATTATTTATCTCCCAGACTTTCCTCTTTCCAGATCCTGTCTCCTTCTTTTTTTTAACATTTTTTATTGATTTATAATCATTTTACAATGTTGTGTCAAATTCCAGTGTTCAGCACAATTTTTCAGTCATTCATGGAC